AAATTTTTAAATTCCGCTGTAAACTCTGTTCCGTACGGTATAACGAACCCAACACCCAAAACGCGTAAGGAGCTCGCGTTCAAAATCTTCCCAACAGATCAGTTGTTGCCGCCCGTGATACACGCGCGTGAGCCACTACCACCACATGTTGGCCTCACCATCTAAATAGTATGCGGCATACCGAACCAGTCACGTTGCGGCATCTTATTTAAGTCAAAGAATTGCACCGCCCTGTTCAGCCAAGCGTCGGGGTTGGTTCCCGTGAACGTCGAGAGCACGATCCTTGGCTTCTCGACGCGTGGTCGCTCTTGTACGTTCGACGCCTGTGATCACCGTTCGTATTCTTCCTCGTCCTCGGGGTGGTGCTCAGCCCGTTGCTGCTCCTGTTGCCTTAGACGCTCGCGTGAGTTCTCCCGTGGTGGCTCCTACTGCTGTTGTCGCTGGAACCCGTGCAACACCTCCTCCAGGCGTTGCTCGAGGCGAGCCACGACAGCATTGGTACTGATCTGTCCCTCATCGAGCGATCCAAACCGACCCTCCATGCTCTCGCTTATGGCCTTGACGTGGCCTTCCAATCCTTCAACCCTTTCCTTCAACTCTCGATTGGCCTAATCTTTTCTGGCTTGCCTGCGTTCTCGACTTCCCGGACTAACTTTTTTATTTATTTATTTTTTTTTTTTATTTTTTTTTACGAACGAAAATTAAGAAAGAAAAATTAAAAGAGAATGGGAAAGGAAAGACACACGATCGACCCTCTCAATGAAAGCACCAATGATGAGGATCGTGTGTCTCGATTGCTGACAAGCCGCTCCCGTGCCTTAAATCGCTGATACTGTGCTTGGAGGTTCACACACTCGCGCCCCTTCGAACGATAATTTGCAATAGACCATTTAACGTAAACTAGAGCAAGAGATTTGAACAAAGTTCGGTTTTGTATTCAGAAGAATCAATGATGAATAATTGAGAACAAGGCACGCCTATTTATAAGGCTCAAAATAAAGATCTAGTCCTAATCTACTTAGACTAGACTACTTATTCTAGGAAAGCAATAAAATATAAAGTGTCCTAAACATACTAGAAAATAAGGAAATAAAATATTAAAGCTATCTAGAATACATCTTGCTTGAGTCTCAAGCCGCCCTGCCCCGCGTCCGTGTTGCCTAATCGCCCAAGGACTAGGGCTTTATCTTTCATTCCCGCGCACGTGTCCAGCAACTCACCTAATCCTCGCGCGCCAAGGCAAGTATGCGCATGCACCCTGTCGCCTGCGCGTTCAAACCTGCGCTCGTCCCCAACAGTATCGCGCGCGTCGTCTCCCGCGTGCGCGTGCCCGTCCGCGTATCGTGCCTCGTCAGCACGGCGACTTAGCCACCTTCACGCATGCCACGTGTGACTTGCTGCGTTCTTGAGCCTTCTTGCCGTCGACATTTCAGTTTGCGATGAATTCCTTCTTCAAGGAGTACCTTCGCAAATTTGTGTTGGTCTTCTTTGATGACATCTTGGTGTATTCGAGGACTTGGGTGGATCATCTTCGGCACTTGCGGGTTGTTTTAGGGATCTTGGAGGCTAACTCATTCTACATTAAGTCATCCAAGTGTTCGTTTGCTCAAGAAGTGGTCGAGTACCTTGGGCACTTTATTTCTCATGATGGTGTCATGGTGGATCCAAGGAAGATTGAGGCGATTGTGGGTTGGCCGAAACCCACAAGCTTGACGTAGTTGCGAGGGTTCCTTGGTCTCAAGGGCTATTATCAGAAATTCGTAAAGGACTATGGGACCATCGCGAAGCCGCTCACGGAGATGACGAAGAAGGGAGCATTCAAGTGGACGGAGGCGAGCGAAAAGGCCTTCGAGGAGCTGAAGGAGGCCATGACGACCACGCCCGTTCTCGCGATGCCGAGGATTGATGTATCGTTTGAGATTCACTCAGATGCGAGTGACATTAGGATTGGGGCAGTTCTAGTACAGGAAGGACGACCCTTGGCTTATCTCAGCAAGTCTCTCAGGCCGGCGCGCTTGGGGCTGTCCGCGTACGTGAAGGAGATGCTGGCCGTGGTCGAGGCCGTGCGCGTGTGGAGGCCGTACTTTCTTGGGCGACGCTTTCAGATTGTCACGGACTAGCAGCCACTCAAGCACTTGCTCGAGCAAAGGATCGTGACGCCGGTGCAGCAGAAGTTCGTATCCAAGTTGATGGGTTTCGACTTCGAGATAGTGTATCGGCCCGGTCGCCAGAACACCGTGGTCGAGACATTGTCTCGCCGGGAAGACGTGGTCGAGATCGATGCCGTGACAGGGCCAATGTGGGCCATTTGGGCCGAGCTTCGGAAGGCACAAGACGAGGATGCACATTGCCGGGACGTGATCGAGAAGCTGAACGTGGGACACGACGAGGACCATGACATGCATGATGGCTTGCTCATTTATCGTGGGCGAGTCTTCATGCCCGAGGCGGGATCGTTGTGCGAGGATATCATCCGGCACTTCCACGACTCGAAGTTTGGAGGACACTCGGGGGTGTTCCGGACATGGATGAGGATTGCGAGCACTTTTTATTGGCCGGGGCAGAGGGGCAATGTGCGCGACTACGTTGGGCGATGTGATGAGTGCTAACGCACTAAGGCGGACGCTCGTCGACCGGGCGGGCTGCTCCAACCTTTTCCGGTTTCTGCGCGTATTTGGGAAGACATCACTATGGATTTTATCGAAGGGTTTCCACGCTCGAATGGGTTCCATGGAGTCATGGTGGTAGTCGACCGCCTTACCAAGTATGTGCATTTTATTCCACTTACACATCCATACACGGCTAAGTCTATAGCAAAATTGTTTGTTGAATATGTGATGAAGTTGCATGGGGTACCGCGGTCAATTGCGTCCGATTAGGATCAGATATTTATGACTAGTTTTTGGTCGTAGATCTTTAAATTGCAGGGAACCGAGCTAAGCATGAGCTCGGCTTATCATCCACAGACCGACGGACAGACGGAGGTGATCAATCGCACACTTGAGCAGTACCTAAGGTGCTAGGACGACTTGAGACGATTAGGGAACGCGGACGCGGGGCAGGGCGGCTTGAGACGCAAGCAAGATATATTCTAGATAGCTTGGTTAATATTTTATTTCCTTGTTTTCTAGTTTGTTTAGGACACTTTATATTTTATTGCTTTCCTAGAATAGGTAGTCTAGTCTAAGTAGATTAGGACTAGATCTTTATTTTGAGCATTATAAATAGGCGTGCCTTGTTCTCAATTATTCATCATTGATTCTTCTTAATACAAAACCGAACTTTGTTCAAATCTCTTGCTTTAGTTTACGTTAAGTGTTCTATTGCAAATTATCGTTCGAAGGGGCGTGAGTGTGTGAACCTCCGAGCACAGTATCGGCGATTTAAGGGCGGGAGCGGCTTGTCGGCAATCGAGACACACGGTCTTCATCACTGCTGCCCTGCGCCCGTGCGCGCTGCTCTGTTATGCCACGCCCAGTGCGCCCGTCCCTGCGCGTGTGCCTGCGCGTTGTTCTACTGCGTCGTGCCTACCTGCGCCCGCCCCTGCGCGCGCCTGAACTTCCTACGGGCTGCGTGCGCGTGCGTCCATTTACGCATGGCCCCGTGCACAACTGGGCACCTGCGCGCGTGCTGTGCACCCATGTGCGTGCATAGTGCCCGTTGGGCACCCGACTAGCATGCCTTCTATTTCTTCGGGCTACCTGGTATTTTAGCCACCCCCACCAGGTTTTACTTCTTCGATAAGCATCCTGAAACCATCGATGGCACGTCCTCTTGAGTCGTGGCCTCATCCGCGCTCATCTACGCCAATGCGCGTTTGCGCGCCCTTGTTTAATGCACCTTTCCGTGTGGGTGAGCATTGATAGCCTTGTGACCATCTTCTCGCGTGCTCGTGCGTCTTTCATACGATCTCATACCCGTCGTTTAGGCCATGCATACGTCATTTTGGTCCTATTTTCAGCATCCTCAGGTCCTCTCGACTCTTGGACCTTCTCGTCGCAGGGCCTCGATACCCACTTTTGTATCATTCCCGCCTCCTTTCCTTGCCCTTAAGGACTCATCCTCGACCATCCAAACCTCGGGCACTCCTTCTTCGACCACGTGCGCATCCCACTCACGGTCCTCGTCGACCTCGACCAAGACCTTGCCCTTGACTTTGAACACCTCTTCATCTGCACTACCCTTCTTGTGTGTCTCATCATCATGGCCTCCACCACCCACGATTAAGATCTCTTCTTTGACCTCGGCTACCTTGGGCTCCCCAACGTCCATGGACACGACACCGAACGAAGGTGAATCCTCGCACCTGACTCGCTCGACCATGAACTCGGTGACCTCATCTTCAACATAGCTTGTTAGATCTAATGCCAATACGGGCTCCATGATCTTGAGTTGTAGTTCGAGCTTCTCCTCGAGATCTCTTCGCTCGTGCAACTCTTCCAAATATTTTTGCTCCCATGGAGTTAACTCTCTTTCCAATCCTTCCAAAAACACGAGATCCTCTGAATCCATCTCATCCAATGGCATGAACATCATGACTTACTTTTTTTTATACTCTCGAAAGATTTCGATAAATAAGAAGAAAAATTTGAAAAAATTTGAACAAGGGGGGATAAATCGGACAAAAAGAAAAAAGAATGGGATAGAAAAAGTTTAACCAAACACACAATCAATCACTCTCAATGAAAGCACCAATGATGAAGGATCGTGTGTTTGCATTCCACTCGCTTGCCTCGAACACAGCCTCGCCACGACTTGCTCTCGACGGATAGGTGTGATCGACTCGTTTATTAGCCTAACTCTCTCACGATACTTGAGTTCACTCGGTAATTAGCCTTGCTCCCTAGATTTTGAACTAGCTCGGTTCTTTGCCTCACTAATTCGATTGCATGATCGAACTCTCACGAATCCTACACACGGATGAACAAACGTTCTTTTCTATTCAACTCAATAATTCCAAGACATATAAAACAATGAGGGGAGACCCCTATTTATAGGTGCATAAAATAAATCTAAGCCTAAGCTAATTAGATCTCCTAATTCTGGAATGAAAAGCAACATGGAAATAAAATCCTAATATTACTAAAACTACTAATTGCTTGACTTGCACTCCAAGTAGGGATGAGTAATCTAGAGAAGATTCAGGTAAAAAAGGTCTCCCAAACTTGGTTTCTTGCTAGGCAAGTCATGCCCCGCGCGCTGCCCCTGCTGGCCTGCTACCCGCGCCCGCGCGTGCTGCCAGCGC